AATGGGATTACAGCTGTGTGTCACCATGTCCACTTCATGTGGTCTTGGGGATCAAGCTTAGAGCTTCATGCATTCTAGGCAAGCATTCTACCCCCTGATATAGCCCCAGCCTCAGCTCCTCTGGTGACCATCTCTGGAGTATCAGCTACAAAACAAGGCTGGTGAGAAGCATCTCCCAAGGCTGTGGGATGGGTCACATAAACACACCTTCATCCTCACAGTCACCAAGACCTTGAGGTCTGATGGAGTCAAGGGACAGGAGCAAGCATTTGGTTTATGTTTTGGGTATAGAACCACCTCCTGTGATTGACTAATACAACACAGAAAGGGCTTCCCTGGACTCATTCACTGTTCACAGAAATGTACCACTTCTGCAGCCATGTTTGAGGGAGTACAAGATTGTCTACATATCACTATATAGATTCTGTCCTGGCTTCATAGAACATGGGTCTCCTCAGTCACTCATCCTGTCCTTACCACCATGACCTTAGTCTAACCACTCAGGGCCTGGGGTGCAGAAGGGAATCAGGGACTGACTCTCTTCTACCCAATGAGCACGTACCTCACCCCAGGGTATGCTGAGCTCCTCTGGCCTTGGTTTGTGGAGCACTACTCAGGAATGAGGCTCAGGGTAATACTGTCCTTTTGGTGCAACATGGGGGAGTCTCCAACTAGAGCTATGTCTGAGTGAGGGCCACTCCGTGCTTTGGAGGCCAGTAGAACGATTATGGGAGCTGCAGCCAGGCAGAGCTGGTGTAGATCCTAGTATAAGTGGTAAGACCGTGTACAGCCCCCATCTCTTCAGTTTTCTCCTCCCAGAGGGGATGGTCAAGGGAGGAACAGAGCTTCACAGTAGGCTTTAGGAAACCTCAGCCTCCCGCCACCACCACCCCCACTCCGCCCTTGCTCTGTAGTTTCTCTGCTTCTGGACTGAGCTTCTGTCTAGCCTCTGAGTAGTCAGCCAAGCTGGGTCTGCACACTGCATTTGGAACCACCCTACCCCATGGCCCGAATCCCTCCACCCCCACAAAGTACTGGGGGATGCTTTTGGTTGTGGTTGCAGCCATAATGGGATTTTCAGGATTGCCATTATGAAGTCCTCAGGGAGGTAACTGAGTTACATTTTTTGAAAAAGAGGGGGAAAAACTAAAGTTCAAGAGAATGAATAAATGTGTGAATTCAAACCCACCACACTTAGAATGACTATTCAAGGAAAATGATTACTAATTATTAAAATTTGGAAAACTACCATTAGGAAGAAAGGAAATGGACATGGCCCCCGTGAGCAGCACCAGCAGATGTTTCTGTGATTTAATGGTTTCCTGGAACAATGTGAAACTATTTTAGAAGCAGACGAATGACTCATGGTACCCAGCACCTGAGGTCCTCTGTGGTGGCAGGAAGCTTGAGTTGGAGGAGGCAGCCTGGGTTCCAATCCCATCTCCATCATTTTCCAGCTGTGTGACCTGAAGCCAATTTCACATTCTCTCTGAGCTTCGTTTCCCCATGGCCCATTGGGAGTTTGGAAGGACAAATAAGAAAATGAGTGTGTGCCTGGTGTGGTGCCACACCCCTTTAGTCCCAGCACTCGGGAGGCTGAGGCAGGCTGATCCCGAGTTCAAGGCCAGTCTGGTCTACAGACCGAGTTCCAGGACAACCAGGGCTACACAGAGAAACCCTGTCTCTAAAAAAACAAACAAAACAAAAACAAAAGAAAAAAGAAGAAGAAAAGGAAATGAACACATGATGCTTAGCATAGTGCTTGTCCATCCATATAAAACTCAGATGTGAAACACCAGACTTACTATATTATTAACATAAACTCGTAAGGTTGGAAGTTTTCCTCTGATGGACACTTGGCCAGAACCATACTTTTGAAATACAGTGTTCTCATTGCTGTTTCCTCAAACAGATCACTTTATAATACAACCACATAACATATGAAAATATATACAGTATATGTAAAATATAACTATATAGTATTATATTAGTTATTGTAATATTTGACATTGACCAGTGTACAAACATTTTGATACAGTTACCTTGAATATTATAAAGCTAACATCATTTTTTGATTATGAAGGTCCCTTTAGGATTTAATTACATTTAAAGTCATTAAATGTAGAAATTTACATTTCTTCAGAGACTTATTTTTGTTATTTTAAATTATATGTATATGTGTACATGTTGGGGCATGTACATGTATGTGCAGGCACCCACAGAAACCAGAGGCATCAAATCCCCCTGAAGCTGGAGTTACAGGCAGTTGTGATCTGCCTATCATAGGTGCTGGGAACCGAACCTGGGTCCTGTGCAAGATCAGTGCACACTCCTATCCATCTCCCCAGCCACAGAGATCTTGCAAGTAAGAGGAGAACCATGAAATCTGGGCTGTGGACATGGAGAACGTCAGACACCTGCCTGAAAGTGACTGACTGAAGTGCAAAGCTTTGGGCATCACTGCGTTTCATACAAGTACTGTTTTTGTTAAAGCTATGCAGACAGACTTTTTTAAACTTTAGATCTGTTTTTAGCCTAGAAGTTTCTTATGTTGGAATTTTTTTCTGCACTTACAGTTTGGAGGGGTTTTGTTGTTGTTGTTGTTGTTTTGTGGGGTTTTTTGTTTTTGTTGTTGTTGTTGTTTTGTTTTGTTTTGTTTTTTTTCCTGTACTTTACTCCTAGATAGAGCACGGTAAAGTCATAGAATGCAGGTAACATGATGTTGAGATTTTGGGACTCACTGGCCTTTCCTGATAGCTATATAAATCAATGTTTGTGTTCTGTGAGTATCTAAAAAGAACTCTATTTTTAGTTATGGAGAAGCAGGCTCACAGAGACTATGGAAATGGCTCAGTGATTGAAGTGCTTGCTTGGGTAAAGCTGAGGACCTGAGTCTGGAACCCTGAGCACCTATGTGAACAACAGCAAAACCCAAGCAAACCTGGCATGGTAGCATGCTATTTGTGTGACTCCACCTGGAATCTAGCAAAAGAACGGCAAGACATGTCTCAAATCATAAGGTGTAGAGTGATGGAGAAGGGCACCCCAACGTCATGCTGTGGCTGCTGCACATGCACCGTGTGGGAAAGCAATCCACATATGCATATGCACAACTAAACCTATGCCTGGAATATGCACATGTAATGCATTTGTATTCATAAATTGCAGGAGAGGCAAGCCAAGGCTTCCTAGTTATGGTTGTAGCATGCCCAACTGATTGTAGCTGTTTTTCAAGACAGGGTTTCTCTGTGTAGCATTTTTAAAATGTATTTATTTTTATTTTATGCTCATTGTTTTTTGTTTGTTTTTAAGATTTATTTTTTATGTATACAGTGTTCTGCCTACGTGTATCCCATCAGATCTCATTACGGATGGTTGTGAGCCACCATGTGGTTGCTGGGAATTGAACTCAGGTCCTCTAGAAGAACACCAATGCTCTTAACCTCTCAGTCATCTCTCCAGCTCCACATTTTTTTTTTTTTTTTGGCAGTTCTCCAGCTTTATTTGACACTCAGCAGGTTAGTTCTCATCCACATTGACTGTCTGTAGATTTTTGAATGTGGTAACAGGCATGTAGGTTACCAATGTGTACACGTTTTCTGGACAAATGTACACAGATATGGTATGGAACATTCCTTATTCCTTTAGCCCAGACGGCCTTATTGAGCCTGGTATCAATGCGCACATCTGGAGTCCCCATCTCCTTCATGGCAAATTTCCAGATTTCTTTGAGTGCCCGAGGAACACGCTTCTTGAAGCCCACACCATGGATGCCCTTGTGAATGTTGATGGTGTATTCTCGGGCCACCACCTCATCGATGGCAGAACGGCCCTCTTCTCGACACCCTTCTTTGGGGAGCCATTCTGCTGGGCCCAAGTTGGAAAAGAAGGGCGCTAGGGATTGTGGGAAGGAAAGCCACAACAAAAGTCGCAGTTCCACATTTTAAAAATTCACTTTTTATCTGTGGTCGTTTCTTGCTTTATGTGTTTAAATGTGGTTTTGCTTCATGCATAGAAATTTGGAGTCATTGATTCTTCTCTATCAAGTATGTTTTCATCCCCGTCAGTCGTTTCTCTTTGCCTTGATCATTTTTTTCTGTCTCCAGTTCTGCTTTGCATTGTTGCTCCTGCCCAGTCCCTCACCTGTAGTTGGTATAGTAATGGCGTTGCTCCTGGGGGACTTCTGGAAGCACACACCATCCACTTTTGTTTCATGTCTCTAGATAGTCAGCTGACTGTATATTTAGTCAGCTGCGATCTGTGGAGAGGCTCTGCCCGCAGAGCCAGCCCCTGCTTTCTGCCTCCTGCCCAGGTGGGTTGTCTGCACACCCCAGCTCATCACTGGCCTGCAGGAGTCCTGTTTTTACATCATATCTTACTTCTTGTTAAGCATCTCAGAAGACAGCGCTGTATACCATTGGTTTTTGGTTTTTGTATATATATATATATATATACAAAATATATATTTTTTGGTTTTGTATATATATATCTATATATATATTTTATATATAGATATATATATTTAGGTTTTGTATATAGATAGATAGAGAGAGAGAGAGAGAGAGAGAGAGAGTGTGTGAGGGAGAAGTATCTCACTCTTAACTTCTTTTGTCCCTCCATCAATTCATAACTGTATGTGTACGTGCAAGTGTGGGGAGCAGTTAGACAAATATGTAAATAAGTAAAACCCATGGAAGCCGTTCTCCTGGGCTTGACAGCTTAGACTTAGTTATTAAACTTTACCAGTCATTAAAGAGTAGGCATAGCCACCCATTATTTTCCATTTGAATTATAGGTACAAAACCTTGTTGTTGATGACTATGCAAATTAGACATGCTAGAGTCTCCAGCATCCATTTCAGTTGTTGCTCACATGTTAATTCAAATCCAAATAGTATGTTCAGTTTCCACAAATTGCTCTTTATAACTTCTTGCAGAGGGGATTATTTAACTCTAGGGTTCTGATGCACTCTACCATAATCTTGTCTTCTTTAATTGTAGGAATCTACCTTCTGGACTTGATCTACATTGATTCTGCATACCCTGCCTCTGGCAGCATCATGGAAAACGAACAAAGATCCAACCAGATGAACAACATCCTCCGGATCATTGCCGATTTGCAAGTTTCCTGCAGCTATGGTTAGTACCTAACCACTAGAATTGTGAAACCTTGTATTTTGCAATCTGGATCCATCACTTTGGCCACAGAAATCGCCAGGAGTCAGGTTAGCCCCACAGTGGTCCCCGCGGTAGTAACTTGAGTTTTAAACATGAGCTAGTCCTTTTATACATCTCCAAAGACTCTGAATACTAGATGTCATTGTCACTCATTACACATGAGGAGCACACAGTTTGGCCACTAAATTACACATTCAGTGAGTGGCGTGTCTCTAGTCTGGCTGGCTCTGGGTCATTTATCCATAAAAAGCCTGGTGGGAAGCTTCCAGATAACTCTTCTTCAAGTGGATTTGGGTCCGTGTCCTTCCCATGAGTCCTCCCACAGGCTCTGTGCCAGGGTGGCAGAGGCAAGAAAGAAGCTGACAGGGGCAGTTTGTTGGCCAGACTTGCAGAGGGAGGCCAGGCCATGTAATCTATCTAGCTGTGGGCCTGAATGGAATGGGGCAGCTTGTCAGGCTCCAGATATAAAGGGTGGGCACGATGCAACGTGCCAGGGATACACAGGGCTTACTGGAGACTTCTATACCTGAGAAGTCAGAATGCTGAGTGGATCATCCACCTGGACACTACCTGAGAAGTCAGAATGCTGAGTGGGTCGTCCACCTGGACACCGATTTCATACAAGACTATGAACTTGGTGTGGAGCCTAAATGTGAGTCACGCGCCCTAGCCCTTTGTGACAACAACCCAGGCAGGGAGTCAGCAGTGATAGGGAGAATAAAAAACAGAGCTGTAAATGGCCGCTCTGCTGCCCGTTCTCACAACAGGATAAAGGAATAAAAGCCTGGGTGCACCAGAGGGTGTGAAAAAAAAAATCTAGCCTTACCTGTCATACACAGGGTGAGACAGCCGGTCACCTCTGCTTGGGAGGACCACAGGGAAGCCACAGGTCACTGAATCTCAGGACGAGATAGGGTCTTCAGCCTAAGCCAGCTCTCCTCTGAGGCCTGCATATTCTAGAGCCTTCAGACACCCACATCATTGTCTACTGACCAGCAGAGCAGCTGCAGATTCAGGCCTCAGAGTATATACCAGGGAGCAAGTCTCAGACTGTATCTTGAAAAGTCACTACCTCCTCACCCTGGTCTGCTCATGCGAGAAAAAATAGGGCCACACACAGTTCCTGGCCCTCAGCATGTGCTGGAATTTTCCAGAACCCAAAGAAGATGCACTCTTGTCACTGTGCTCTGGAGTTGTGCCAACCACCATTAGCTTGGAGAGCAGGTGTCATTGTCCTCATTTAAGAGATGATGACACGACTGAGAAACAGAAATGATCTTCAGAGCCTCAGACTTTGGAGCCTAAAGATCACAGGCCCCTGCTGCTCTTCAAGACTTGTCCCTCTCCGCAGCCTCTCTCCTTTCATGTCTGCCCCCCTTCTCAGAAGTACAGTGACAGTGAATGTCTGAGAATGACAGACATGACACAGGATGGCACAGGCCTCACAGGCTGGGGTAGAACCTGGCCTTGCCATCTCTAGGTGGTATGACCTTTGCATATTGCTGCCTTCTGCCTTTTGTATGGCGGGGATAGCCTTTTTCCTACATAAGACAGGGTGAAGGCTAGAGCAGTTGTCTGCTGTCTGTCACCTGGTGCAGACTTCTGCCCTGGCTGGGATGGCCTTGCGTTCATGGCATACAGGAGACTGTATACTGCCATCACTGGAAATGTGCTAGAGACGCAGACACATGACTCTGCTCTTTTCTGGAGGCCGGGGCTCCAGCTTGCCCCAGCCTTAGCTTCTCCCCTCAGCCAAATGCTCAAGGTCACTTTCCATAAGGAAGAATCCAAACCTGGCCACCTTCCAGGCCCTGGCCCCGGGGACAGTGAACCAGCCTCAAGATGCCACATGTGTCTATGTTGGATGACACCACTGAGAAACAGGACCCTTCCCTGGGCTGGGGAGAGTCCAGCCTCTGAGATTTGTCCCCACCCACACAGATCACCTCACTACCCTGCCACATGTGCAGAAGTACCTGAAGTCTGTACGCTACATTGAGGAACTCCAGAAGTTCGTGGAAGATGACAACTACAAGTAAGTTGCTGTTCCCCAGCTGGGCCTACCTGCCACTGCTCTCCTTAGCACCCAGTTGCCTGCTGCAGGTGACCTGGTCCTTCTGGGACTGGTAAGGAACAACCTGCAGGACTTCTGTGCCCCACCAGAGCAATGTTGTCTGTACAGCCCTCAACACCTGACTTCTCTCTAGCCCCTCAGACCCCATAGCTGAGGGAAACAGTGTGCCCCCATCCCATGTGACCTGGGAAACACCTGTGGACCCCACAGCCATGTGTGGGGTAGGGAGGGCACTTTGACTCTCACAGGTACCCTTGGCACTGGGTAGAAGGTCATCAGCTGGGCATATTCTCAGGCCCTTGTTCTCCAAGGTCCTGTTTTACAGATGGATGAAACAGTCTGTCTCTGGGTCTCTCTGCTCTGTAGGACTCTCCATCTGGCTCTAGCCAAGGGCCTCAGGTACAAACTCTATGCCTCTCTGAACACATGTGTTTCTCAGAAAGGCCCAAAGGCCTTTCAACTCATCTTCCACATGCCCTGCTCTGGTTTGTGGGTCTCCCTACATCGGTGGCACCTGGGTGTGCATGCCTTGCTCAGTATCTGGAGGGAGAAGAGGGGTTTGTTTTCAAATCAACTCTGGCTGCCTATCTTTGCTAGACATACTCTCTGCTCAGTGCTTTCTCATATAACCTGGTATCAAGGCAAGTCTCAGCCTCTTATGATCAATCATTCTCCACGAGTGTTACCCTCACAGGATTCCTTCTTACTGGCTGCTTCTGCACACTGTTTCCCTGACCCCTGTTATCTAGTGCTGTTTAATCCCTGGCAGCTTTGTCTGAAAGCATGCTCTTGCATCATCTTGGTCTGTGAAAACAATCCAGAGCCATAGCCACCTACCAGTGCACCTAGCCAGTACAGCAGCCCTGGCTGGGGGCTCTGGCTAGGGATCCAGCTCACCAGGGTGGGGCCTGGAGACTGGCCTTCTCTCAGCACTCCACTTGAGGCTCTTATCGTCTTTGGGAACATAGACCTTCTGTCTTCACTGTTGCTATACCATCATTCATCAAGATGAAGAATGGTACAAATGTGATCTAGTGCACAGTAATGGGAGGCACAGAAGAGAGCCAGAGGTCACCACTAAAACGGCATCTATCACAAACAGAGTTCATTTTATTTACAAAGCATGTGCTGTTCCTGAAGAGTGGCCTGGAGTGCGAAATTATTCCCACTTAAGTTCTAGTATAATGTTTTCCATTCATGTACCAGCCTTGCCATTAAAGAGACAGTAGTTTTTCATTAACACTAATATGCTTTAAGGAAAAAAAATGGCCTATAAATACTTGTGAACATGAGACAACCCTTGGACAAGCTGCAGATTATGAGTAATTACTCCTCCATTCTGAAGAAGTGGAGCACTGTCCCCACTCCCACCCCCAGCCCTCTGTGCTAAACAACAGTCAGCCTGGGGCTCATAAAGGTTCTTTCTTTGTTGGGCCAAACTGGGCAAGCCTGGGGAGGAGGGGCTGCCTTCCTGCCCCAGGCCCCCAACTGTGGAGGGTCCTCTTTCTAAGAAGATCCTGTTTCTGAACAGCAGGAGACGAACAGGGCCTGTGATTCTGCTGAGCACTGTAGCCAGCTCACACCTAGAGGTGGCTCCTCCCACAAGAACTTATGACATTGGTGACCTGGCACTTCTAATACCTTGTCGTCCTCTGCCTTGAGATAGATACTCTGCCAAGAGACCCGACCAGTGTTTTCTCTTTCTCAGCTGTTAATCTGCTATCAATTTAAGAAAATTGACCCAAATTCTTACCACTTAGGAAGCATGGCCACTAGCATGAAGTAAGCAGGATTTTGAACACTTGGCTATGCATGGAAACTTAATTTACACATAGAAAGGGTGGGTAGATGGATGGTGGGCAGAAGCTACTCAGATTGGATCATACTTATCTTGCTATTTGTAATTTAAAATCTTAAATGTCTTTAATTCAACCAGATAAAAAGGAAACTGAAATAAAAGGTAAGGAATTTCCACTCTTTAAGTTAATGTTTATTTACTACAAGAAGTGTTATTTCCTGGGTCTTCGAATTGTCTTGCTTAGTCCTCCAACAGGGGACCTGACTTCAGTTCCCATTGCCCACTTGAGGCAACTCACAACTACTTGCAACTCCAGCTCCAGAGGATCCAACATCCTCTACTGGCCTCCATGAACACTGCACACACATGCACATTACCACATAGAGACTCAACACATACACATAATTAAAAATTAGAATAAAAATATATTTCTTCATCATCTTTTATAAGACTCATAAAATGAGCCAAGAGAACCATGAAGAAGCCTGAGTTTGGGTGTTTCCTGTGACCAGGTCATTACTGCCTCAGGTTATAAAGGGGAAACTGCTGGCCCTGCCCCAACCCGGGCTTCACCATCCTACAGGATTTTGTTAGTTGTGCTATGTTTGGCCCCCATACTCCAAGTGCATACCATGAAAACCACCCTCAGGAATCATAATTCCTACTGTTCTGTGTTTTTAATGGAATTGATTTCTTATCATCTATTGCTCTTCATCCCTTGAGCCTTTATTTTAAATCAGTCCCTTACTCAGCAGGGTTCATCAGAAGCTGCAGCCTCCCCTCCCCTGGAGGGCTGGTTGTTCTGAGCTTGGCCTCTTGGGTCTGTAGACCAGCACCATGGCCTCCTGACACTGGATGCTGCTGCTGAAAGTCTCAGACCTGCCCAGGTTGTTTTTTCCTTCTCCTCTTGCTTTGCCTGGTGGATGAAGAAATCCATGAAATTCAGAAGCCAAGCAACAGAAATCTTCAGAGAGGAGGACTCTCCCTGACCTCCAGATCCCTCAGCATGCCTTCCCAGCTACAGGCCAGCCCCGCTGGTTATGGCTTCACCTGCTTCTACACCTGCTCTTGGCTTCCACCTGCCAGGGCTCCTGAGTTGGATGCTCTCTGCCCGTCTTCCCCTTGAGCTGCTTCCCAGCAGCTGTGATGGTCTCCTCAGCCACCAGCATCCCCAAACAATGTTTCCAGTGAGGTGTGCAGCCAGCCCTGTCTGGTTCCCATCTTTGTCTCATTACCTCGATGTTCAGGTTTGGTTGAACTCAGCTTCTCTGCTCAGGGGCTACCTCTTAGGCTGACCTGGGGGTCACTCTCTCCTTACCTTTCTCTTCTGTGAGACACGGTCTGTGGTGTTGCTTGACCACTGTCTTGCTACTCTTGCCTGGATGCTTCTCAGAAAGACGTCTCCTGCTGCCTGGGAGCTCCAGGATCACCTAACTTTCCCCCAAGAAGGCAAGAGGTTCCCTTCATCTCTCAAAGCCACCAATGCCACAAAGGCGTGTCTTCAGGTTGCCAGTCTGGCCCTATGGAACTTGCACTCCATCATAGTATCCCTGCCTGCCACTCACCGATGTTAAGAGTTTGGCTGCAGAAGCTGTGCAGCTTCCTTCTCCTTACTTTCCCAGGCTCTAACTATGCTTCCCTCACAGAATTGTGAGTTAGCAAGCAGGGGTCAGTCGTTCATTTCACCGTGTCCTCTTGGACCAGAAACCCTGGGGAGGTGTTGGAGGGAAGAGTTGTGACCCAAAGCAGACCTCACAGTATCCCTGTATTCTGTGACCCATGTACTCCTTCCCCCATCCCATGATAGACCAGGGCCCCTCTAACCTTGTGAAAATCTTTGTTTCAGACTGTCACTCAGAATCGAACCAGGAAGCAGCTCTCCAAGACTAGTCTCTTCCAAGGAAGATCTTGCAGGTATTGTAGCTACCTCGAATGGTACAAACCATGAACGCCCCAGACTTGGCTACCAAAATAGGTTCTGTGTGAATCTCCAGAACACAGTTGAGTTCATTGTCTGATAGGCTCAACTGTCCCTGCTTATAGCTCCCTCTTCCAACTTGGTAGAATCCTGATAATGTGGGACCCAAAAGAGATCAGATCCTCAACTTTGAAGCATGCACAGAGTCCAGAACTCTGTGATCTTTCCCTAGACAACCAAGCCCCTTGTCCTCCAGCCTACCCTCAGGCTTGGCATTATGTGCCCTGAAGGGGTACCCAAGATGCACCAGATGCATTAGATTTATCACCTCTGAGGGAAACACACACTATATCACCAGCAGTGGGATCCTAGGATCTATTGCCAGAGCTAGGCTCTAGCTTTGTCTCTCTAACTTTCTCCTATGTAGCGTTATCTACTAGACGAAGTGAAGATTTGTATTGCCCTTGTAGGACTGCCATGATGCCTGGGTGAGCACAGGCCTGTCTCATGCTCTGCCCACACCTGTCCCCTGTCAGTGTGCTTGTGTCAGCTGTCTTGTTGTTTCTGATATAACAGTGGCCCTTCAGTCATCATCTAGGCAGCTCTTAGAGATGGGGACTGATCAGTACTGCTGTTTGAGGAGAGGCCTCCAGCAGCAGGTCTTCCTGGTTACAGCTTTCCATCACTTACCCAACCTGGGCTCTGAGGCTCTGCACCTTAGCCAAACAGCTTTATCCCTCTGGACAATGTTTTCCCTGCTTGTAAAATGGAAATAATGAAGCCATCATCCCAACAAGGTGACCCTGAGATGCTGTTTAGGTGCCCAGTCGTCTACAGTGAGCATCCAGAAGTGGGTGGGAAACTGCTGCCTGGTGTCATGCCATCCCCTCCTTGGGCTCCTCAAGTCAGCCTCTCCATACTCCCAGCTGGTATGTGTATTGGTAGGACTAGACCCACAGAACTCAGAAAACAGTGTGGCAGCTTCCTTTCCACCCTGCAGAGCCTCTGTCCCACCTCTGGGATATGCTCCTGGCTCCCTGTCTGTGCCAGCCTCTGCTGTCTCTGGGTGTGTAAGCTAGACTCATCCTCACACCTCTAGGCTCCCCTTGCTCATGAACCTGTGTGGCCCTTGGGAGTGCAGGAGCTGTTGAGTTAGTGCTGTCTACAGTGTATTTTTGATGGCATCTCCCAGGACCTTGTATTAAGTGCTTCCTGCTGTCTCCTCAAAAACCTACTGTCTTTCCCGAGCAGATGGCCCTTGTCAAGGGTGGTCCTGGGTGTTTCTTCTTTCCAGTCTGTGTCTGTTATAGAACTCTCCCCAAGCAAACTGCTCTCTGAGATGCTCTGCACTGCCCACTCCAGCTGTAAACTGGGTGCAGTATACATGCCACTTACAGGGCTACTCCCAAAACATACGCAGTCTGGCACAGCTCTCATCAGGGGCGACTCTGCCATGATGCTGTGGTTGTCAGCATGATTCCATCACTGAACTAACCTCTAGGATTTAGCTAAATGACACTGCCTAAGACCCCAATCAGGCCTGGTTTAAGGGTGGGGGGGCATCCAGCTCTGGACCCCAAGCTGACCCACCCTGTTTCTGTGTAGTATGACATATGGCTACGCATTCATGGTTTACTTCTTGCCTGGCCTCTCACGGGGCTTTGTAGGTCCTACATCATACCCTGTGTGGCCAGAAGCTGGCATGGCCTAACCTCCTTCATCTGTTAATTCATTTGCCCTCTGCCTGTCTTCTCCAACAGAGTAAAAGCCCTCTGAGAGACAGGCCTCATGTGGAATTCCTAAAGCATGGCATTCAGAACCCTGGGTGAATCAGCTGTCTCCCATTCAGCCCTAGCCCTAGAGTCCCTTATTGGGCCCTAGGCACACCTGTCCTTGGGGACAGTGCCTGCATGGGCTGGCTGCTGACTCTGCATAACCTTCCAGAGATGTGCTGAGGCCAGCAGTCCCTGCTCTGCAGGGGGAGCTCGGCTCACAGGTCTGTTTTCTGCCAACTTTCCAAACCCCTGGCTTCAGCCTTAAAGCAAGGCATCTGGGTTTATGTTGGTCACCCAAGAGCCTGTGCCTTTCTAGAAAGCTCATCATCCATTCAGTGGCTCAGGTTTCCCCCTCAAAGACTCAGAGGAAAGATAAGGAGTGCTGCTGCAGCCTGGGTCATCCCAGGGGTCCCTAGAGGGCAAGGGTCAGCTCCAAGGAAGCCTTCTGGGCTCTGGCAATTAGATTGAGCTGCGTGGCAGGATCTCCACAGGACTGGGGACAGGAATGTGCCTCTTGCCATCCCAAGAA